TAAGGTGTACATTTCCCCTGAAATAACGTGAAATAATGGCGAAATAACGTTGAAAAAAAAGGTAAAATAGCGCGAAATAACGCGAAATAACGTGCTATAATGTGAAATAACACGAAATAACGCGAAATAACGTTGAAATGCCCTTGAAATAACGTTGGAATAGCAATGAAATAACGTGAAATAACGTGAATTAACGGTGTCCAAATTTTGACGAAGTTGTTTGCCCCTCGTTAAGGACTCAGGACATCTGAGAACACGGGTGTGGGACTGAACTTGCAATTGATCCAACTCAAAACGTTGAAGCCTGTCAATCGAACAACGTTTGCCTCATTTCCACTTACACTCTCCAGACACTCTCATTCCAGGAAAGTGACATCACGTTGAAGCAAACGTGACAATATGTCACGTTCGTTTGACCATTGTGTCACGTTCGTTTGAATGTGAACAAGCTGATATATTGCCAATTCACACCGAAACGAATGTGACAGAATTGCTCAATCGAACGTGCACGTTCGATTGACATTTCGTCACGTTCGTTTCAACGTGATGTCACCCTCCTGGAATGAGAGTGTAAACGAGAAGTACTGCGTTTGTAAGAAGCCCACCACATTGAAAGGTTCTGGGACTCATGAGATGTCATAGCTTCATGAAAACGTTCTTTTCTCTGTAGGCGAAGTTGAGAATGAAAAGAAAAGTGGACAAATCGGCCACCAACTCGGCGACTTTGGCCCGTTCAGACATTTTAAAATGCTAAAATTTCGTCTTTGTTTGACCTGCGTTACGTCAAAATGGACGTTATTTGCGTCATAAGCACCCTAAAAAACAACTTGAAACAACGCAAACTTGAAAAAAAAATGGTCGTAATACACCCGACCTGGATTTGAACCCGAGTCCAAACTTCTCCTATTTTCTTTGAATCATCCTCCGACTCCAAAAATACCCCTACACACTAAACTTCTTACGGATACATCCTATCTGTATTACGGACATTTTTGTGCAATTGCAATTACGGATAGATTTTGCTTGTAATACGGATGATTATATCCGTAATACAAAGGTTTTCGTGTCCGTAACATACAGACGAAAATATCCGTATGGTACGGACGTAAAACTCTTTGTAATACAGATGATTTCATCCGTATTACAAGCAAAATCTATCCGTAATTGCAATTGCACAAAAATGTTCGTAATACAGATAGGATGTATCCGTAAGAAGTTTAGTGTATACATGCCCTTCTATCTAGCTACATCCGTTGCCGCAATCCTCCTCGACCCTATGGACCATGATGATGCACCTGCAGCAGCGCTTCCGGGACTCGGATCGGATTTGCTGGCACTGGAAGGTTTTAAGGGTCAGCCAAGGACGCTGCATGCCAAATTTGATCAAGATCGGACTACGGGGGGAGTCCTCGGACGGACGAACGAACACACGCACAGCACGTATCACACTTTTTTCATAAATCGAGGGGTCCTATTCAAAGGATCTTATCCGGGCGTTCCCGTTTTAAGAATTTTCACTGAAACGAAAGCAAATTTCACTAAGTTTGATCATTTGGGATGAACCTACGTACAATATGGACAATTGGTTTCTTTGATATTTCATCTTCAAGCTTGTGCGAATAAAATCACAAGTTATAAGGATATGTAGCTGTCAATGATCAAACCAAGTAAAATCCTCTTGCGTTTTGGATAAGATTCTTTGTACTTGAACGCCCAGATAAGATATTTTGAATAGGACCCCTTGAAATACCAGACGGGCAAAAACGGACGCGTTTGACAACGCCACCACGCCTCACCTCAGATCGGCGCGCTTCTGCTGCTGTTCCCTTTCGACGATGAAACTCAAGGCGAAGTAGTTGTCCGGCAAAGCGTCAACAGGCCCCACCAACTCCTGCAAAGAGCAAATGCGGAAAAAAATTAATTCTCAATGACAGGAGAAGTGGCGATACCAATCGGCAACTTTGGCCTCTGAGCACTTTGAAGTTCGCAAATTTCGTCTACTTTTCACCCTAAAGCCTTGTTCTAGGTCAACATGGATGTAATATCAGCACCCTCATAAAAACGTTCAACAACGCAAAACTTTAACAAAAAGAGTGGCCGTAAAATACCCAACTAGGATTCGAAGCCGGGCCAAACTTAAAGTCGAGTTTCTAAACTGCCCAACATTCCGCACTGCTGTCAGTTTTCTGCATTTTCCCAAATAAAACACATGGGCTTTTGTAATTTTTGCTTTTTGGTGGCGGGCTAGAACCATTATTCGTCAAAAAATCTCATGTTAACAAAAAATACAAGGTAGGTTTACGCCAGACCGCGTCTTGTCGTAACAGGCTTCGCGATGTCTCGCGGCCTGTTCCTCCAATCCGAGCCTGGCGTACACTCTAAAAAAAATGCTTCTGAAATTTCATAACTTGGTTTTGGACCTATTTGTAGAACTATTGCTCTTAAATTTCATATCCAAATAGTTCTTAAATTTCATAACTAGCTGTTCTGAAATGTCATAAGTGGTTTATGAAATGTAAGAACTCTATTATTAATTTTCAGAAGCAATGTGTTATGAAAACTTATATCCGGTTCTTAATCTCCACAACCAATGCTATGAAACATCATAACAGTTTTATTACTTTTTACAACCTATGTGTCGTGAAATCTCATATCCCGTTCTAAACTTTTATGTTACAAATACTGAATTCTCAGACAGGTTTCATTTCTTTTCACACTAAATATCTTGCAGCACTTATGCATCGTAGCGCACCAATTCGCGCTACTAAAGCGGAGTTTCATTTTTATCCGAGAGCACGCACAAGAAACATCACAACTTCAGCAAAACTTCAGTCGACGTGGTAAACAGCGCAGCAGCGTTTTAGATCCAGATGAACACTTTGGGGAAACTCGATCGACAAGAAGAAAATACTTTGGGAACAAAGATGAAAGAGGAGAAGCGAATTGAAATAATACGCCACCCACACGTTCATCGTCCGTCCCTGCAGTTAAAAAGATGGAGTAACAGCATTCAGTTACGCCGCTTGTAACGAAAACAAATCATGTTTCCGGAGATCGCCAATCTAGCTTCAAACTCTTGAAACACGAGTGGTGACTGTTGGGCACCACGGGCAACACTTCAACTGCACCATACGCACTGCGCCGAAATAACACTAAACGGTCCAGCGAAACTAAATTGATGGCGCGACTGACTACGTAGCTCTCGGACCCGGACGCGATGTGCACAGCTCTGGAGACACAGACACACTAAAAATGACGTAGCCTCTCAGTAATCCGGAGTGGCCGAGGGATTTCGCGACCCTTCGGCCGGTGCAGGTAGCCTCGGCCGGCCGGCCGGCGAGCGGTGATTTTCCGGGAAAGCAGCGCCCGGGCGCCGGCTCGGCTCACCGTGCCCGGCTCGGCTGGCCACCGACGGGGCGGCTCGGCTCGGCTCGGCTCGGCCCGACACGGCCCGGCGTATACACTGTTTGAACTAACTGAAGCATGCCTGCAAGCACGCTCTGGTTAGCGCATACCCGCCAAGCATGCACTTATCACTGCATACATGACATGTAAGAGCTAACTGAAGCAGACAACTCCCTGCCACTTACGCACTAGATGTAGTAAGCGGGTACATGGCATGTATGCACTAGTAAGTGCATGCTTGGCGGGCATGCTTCAATTTGTGCAAACAATATAAGCTTTTCGATTTGTAGCTGTGCCCATCAGGATTCCTATCTAATCGGTTAGGAAAATGTAAACACTTGCCGAAAAAGAGAATTTTACCAACTGATTTAGGGTTATTGTACAGTGAAAAAAGTGACTAAGTAACATTTTAAAAATACTTGTGTCAGATGTCTCAATTTGGGGGTAAAAGTTCCTTACTATTGCATAAACTCATACACTGAGAATAGGCCCCCACCTCTTAATAGTTTCTGACTTATGGATGTTTACGTTAACTTGTAGTCGTTCCTCTCAAATTCTTCTCACGACAAAGTAAAAGCTACCCATCCTTCAGATTCTGGCAATTATATTTATTTTTGCAATTAAAATAGATGGTGTTGGCCTTTTTTTAATCTCTCTCTTAGTTTTACTGTAAAACCGAAAACATAACAAAAAAAATACGATTTCAAGAAATCCTAGGAGTCACGAAGTCAATTTGATTATTGTGTAAGAGTGTGGAGAAAGAAAAGAAGTGGTGTTGTGAAGTTGTGGCTCAGGGGACTACCAATGGCAGTGGTACCAATGTGGTCGATGTGCCATCCGTCGAAATTTAAACTTGACAATAAATAGAAATCAAAATGCTGGTAAATTCAAAAAATTCCAATGCTAATGTATTCCGCAGTGTTCTGACAATGGAACATCTTTGAAGTCCATCATGATTCATGAACATGTTCTTAGCAGAAAGAAGTCAGTAAATTAATTTTCTCGGGTTGGCAACTATTTTCTCGGCGTCTGCGCCCTTGCGAAAATCGCGAAGCTGAAAGCGCCAGCAGTCGCGCATTAAAACTGCCCCTCCATTGTTGTGGACGTTGAATTGTTTGGCTTGTTTCAAAAGGCTATGGTTCTCTAGTCATGTTTTCTTCAATTCTGTGCAATAGTTCTCCCTTACAACGTATCAACACCACGACGGTTGGTTTGACAAACTTCATAAACTCGGGAGGGATGGTTTCGAAACGCGGGTGAGTCTTGTTCGAGGAACATGAGCACTGCAAGTCGCGAGGTGGAGCGAAGTGGTCCTAGTGCTAACTAAATCACAACAACAACACTGCGCATGTCCAAAAACACTCCAATCAAGAAGTATTATTGGATAGTCCTACCCGAAAAACTGCGTTCGAACCGACACCAATTCTATTGTTGCATCTTGTCTACCTGCAGTCAAAGAAATTTTTCATTTCGAACGTGCTATTTCAGCTTTTGGAGTAAGCTGTACAGACCCAAAAAGAAGCTCGGCTATTGGTCCGCCCCGGCCCGGCTCCCCCCTCTCCCTTACTTTTCCCTTGACGAGTCGAGCATTGCCATAGAAACAGTGATTTTGTCGGCAATTTTCTCAAAATTTATCGCTAGAATTTCAACAATATTTCAGAATTGAAATCGCATCTCAAAATTCTACCTGCTTGCAAAATTTCATCAAAATCGTACAGAAACGTTTCGACTTGCATAAGGGGCCATGCGATCAAATCCCAGCGAGGCTGAATCCTCGGGGATACTATAAGGCTACTTCGTGCCTAATAAGGCAAACTCAAATTTCAAGGATAATGAAAATGGGCCTAGTCAAATACCTTTTACAGCCTCTTCTGGATTGATATATTCAAATGTGCCAAATCTTTCTTTTTCTTATACCTTCAATGCTAGAATCAGAGGTTTGCATACTTTTTCCTTTGTCGTGAGAGAAATTTTGAGGGAAACGACTCAAAGTTTACGTAAACCTCCATAACTCAGAATCTAATGAGAGTTGGAGCCCCCAACTTTGAGAGTAAATTCATCTAACAGAGGTTGGATTTTGACCACAAAAAGAACTTCCTGTGAAAAATGGTTCTGTTTCATGCTATTTTCACTTCACAGTGTCCATAAACACAGAAGGGACTTGGCAGCAGAACGCAAACGATTAAAAATTTCAGATCCTTTGCTCTAAAATCAGCAAGCGTTATAAATTTTCAAAGTGAAAATCTAGATTTTAAGAACCGGAGTTATAAGATAACCAGTTCTAAAAATTTATAACCAGTTATTCTTAAAATCTATAACCCAAATCTTAAAATTCATTACAGGATCTTAAATTTTATAAGAATGTTATGAAAATTGAGGTTTAGAACGTGATTATGAAATGTAAGACCTATTTGGATATGAAATTTCATAACTTTTTTTAGAGTGTATCTACCTTGGCCTGCGGCGCTAGCCTGCCTTCGGCAGGCATTGTCCCACTGTTAAAAAAATTTTGAAAATTCAGACCAATTTTGTCAGACTTAGCGGTCTGAATCTGTAAATCAGACTTAATTCTGAAAAATCAGAGTTTTAGTCTTAGTTCTTAAACGCTTTGTCTGAAAGCTTAGTTCAGACTCGAAGTGTCTGAGTATTTGTACTCATTCTCAAAATTCATATGAACTTGCGTCAAACTTCTCAGACCTCAAGAGTCTGAATTTCGGATTCAGACTACTTTCCTAAATATGTTCAAACATAAGAGAAAATTGGACAACTTTCTTCCAACCTAACATTGGGTTAACTCACCATCAGTCTTACATTCAATTTAATCCGACTCCGTTCCGGGGACTTCAGACGAAACGAAAGCATTTTTCTCTCCGCTAGGTGGCGCCAGTGTCGGTAAAGAGCCTGCTGTTGTTAAAACCTTTTTTTCTGTTAAGTTTTTAATATTTTTAACCCGAAATGGCTATCACTCTATTGGCTATGACGAAACACGCGCTCCCATACCAAATTTATATCTGTAGCGAACGCGCGAGTTTAACAATTGACATTTGAAGTTACCTCTCGCGGTTGGCTCCGTGCAGCCGTTTCCTAGGGTGCGTCAGGCCAGCTCCAGATGAGTGCAGGGAAGAGTCCTGCTTTGAGGACATTTCTCTACTCACAATTTTTTTACCTAGGCGGTCGCTTGGAGCACGTCTCTCCTTTGAGGTTCGGGTGCAAACATTATCATTTCACCGAGTCACGGGAAAATTTCCTGCTGCGACTTTCAGACAAAAAAATCTAATAATTGAGACAATTTTGTCTGAATTTTTCAGACTACAACCTGCCTGAAAGGTTAAGACTTGTGTAAGTCTGAAAATTTCAGACCAGGATTTAGTCTGAATTTTCAGTAGGATGTTCTGCATATCACTGGTTTCGGACAAAGGGACTTAAGTCCACATTTTGGTCAAAATGGTTTCATTGTTTTCTCAGACTGTTGACGATACTTTACAT